ATGTCACACCACCCTTTCAAACCAATGTCCCTTGTACAGTTATTCGTATCTTCCTTCATCGTTGGATCACAGTGATTTCAGTCTACTTCTCCCCTTCCCACCCCATTGACTTTGTTGCTTTTGAAAATCTAATTTCCCAACTTCAACCACCTTTCCTCATAGTAGGCGACTTTAACTGCCGCCACACTCTTTGGGGTGATTCTATTACCAACTCCCGAGGCCGATCTCTAGAGCGCTTCCTCTCCACAGCTGACCTTACTATTCTAAATTCAGATCGCCCCACACACTTTGATACACGCACGCAATCTTTTTCATGCATTGACCTCTCTCTATGCTCCCCTTCTCTTCATATAGATTTCCACTGGTCAGTCTTAGACCACTTTCCCTATAGTGACCACTTTCCAGTTCTCCTTTCTCCTACTTCATACGTACCACTTCCTAACTCCCCACGCTGGTGCTTTGATAGAGCCGACTGGCATACTTTCACTTTACTCTCTGCTATTCATACCCCTCCATCCTCCCTCACCTCCATTTCAGAAATGATACAATGTTTCACAACTACAGTCTTAAGAGCTGCACATACAGCTATCCCTCGAACCTCAAGACCATATACCTCTAAATGTGTTCCATGGTGGAATTCTGATTGCACTAAAGCACTTCGCTTAAAACGTGCAGCCTGGAACAGTTACCGCTACAAAAGAGGTACTCCAAATCAACTATCAGCCCTTATCTCCTTTAAAAGAGCATCTGCCTGTCTTCGTCGTACAATCCGGAATAGTAAAACAAATAGCTGGCGAAATTATGTTTCATCAATTACATCCTCTACATCTATCTCAAATGTATGGCGACGAATCCATAAACTATCAGGCAAACATCCCCCCCATCCTGCCCCCGTCCTCCATATTCGAGATACCCTCATTTCTGATCCTCTCCAAGTCGCTAATGAACTGGGTGATTATTTCAGCCAGGTCAGTAGTGGCTCTCACCTTTCTTCACACTTCTCTTCTATCAAGACCACCAGAGAACGTACCCCCATTACCTTCACCCCATCCTCCGTTGAGTCCTATAATGCCCCATTTTCTTCCTCTGAACTCATTACTGCCCTACAATCGTGCCGCAACACTCATGAAGGCCCTGACGGTATTCACTACCGTATGCTCCAGCAACTCTCATCTTCCTCCTTATCCTTCCTATTAAAAATTTACAACCACATATGGACATCAGGAAATTTTCCTTCTAATTGGCGAAAAGCTCTTATCCTTCCCTTCCTGAAACCCAATAAATCGGGTACCCTCCCTCAAGACTATCGCCCCATCGCACTAACTAGCTGCTTGTGCAAACTATTAGAGCGAATGGTGAACTTCCGCTTAATGTGGTATCTTGAATCTCACAATCTTCTCTCTCCTTCCCAATTCGGTTTTCGCCGTGCCAGAAGCACAGCTGACCCCCTTGCTCATTTTGAGACATATATTACATCCGCATTTGCACGCCATGAATACGTACTAGCTATATTTTTTGATCTAGAAAAAGCATATGATACGACATGGCGGTACCATATTCTCCAACAATTGTCCTCTCTAGGCATACGTGGAAACATGGGTGTCTTCATAAAGTCTTTCCTCTCCCAACGCACCTTTCAGGTCAAAATTGCTTCTATCACATCATCTTTCTTTCCTCAAATCGAAGGTGTCCCACAAGGCAGTGTGCTCAGTACCACTTTATTCCTTCTAGCTGTTAATGATATTGTCTCAGTTTTACCACCAGGAGCCCGGTCATCACTATATGTTGATGATTTAACCATCTATGCATCTGGCACATCCATACCAAATCTCTACCAATTTCTTCAATCTGCAATCTCATCAGTATCTTCCTGGGCCACAAACCATGGCTTCCGCTTTTCTATCTCTAAATCTTTCTCCATCCTTTTCTCTCGCTCACGTGTAAGTCCCCTACCCCCACTCTTCCTATATGGCACTCCACTCCAATGCCGTTCCTCTGGCAAATTCCTAGGAGTCATTTTTGACTCCAAACTGACCTGGCAAGACCATATTCTACACATTAAAGAAAAAGCTCTCCGCCGCCTTCGAATTTTAAAAACTCTATCCCATATATCATGGGGCTCAGATCGCAAAACTCTTCTTCATCTTCATGTTACTTTGATCCTCTCCACTCTTGATTATGGATGCCATATCTACTCCTCTGCCTCAACTTCTCTCCTTGCCCATCTTGACACAATCCATCACTGTGGTCTTCGCTTAGCACTAGGCGCCGTCCGCTCCTCTCCAGTTGAGAGCCTGTATACTGAATCAGGTATACCATCTCTATCTCGACGTCGTGCCCTGCTCTCACTCCGATGTTATGTTCGTTTCCACCAACTTCCCCTCACTAAACTAACTATCCCACAATCCCTACTTCCTACCTTAGCTTCATCTCCACGCTTACCTACTCCTTTCTCCACTCGCATGGATACCCTGCTCTCCCATTCCCCTTTCCCCCATCTCCAACCTCTCCCGTTCTCTGTCCATTCCGTCCCTCCATGGCTTATACCTCACCCCCATATTTGCTCTTCTGTTTTCCCCGACCCACCAAAATCAAATATTCCTCCTACTGTCCTTCTCATTCATTTCCTTGACCATGTCTCCACCCATTCCTCTAGTATACACGTATATACTGATGGCTCCAAATCCACCTCTGTTACTGGTTTTGCAGTAATATTCCCAACTCGTACTTTCAAATACTCCCTTCCTCCTGAATCCAGTGTCCTTACTACTGATCTGTATGCACTCCTTTTTGCCCTAAAACACATATACTCACTCTCCTCTTCCTCTTTTACAATTTTTACTGACTCCCGTAGCTCATTAACTCTCATAAAGTCAATACACAGCACCAACCCCCTTGTTTGTAAGATCCAGAACTGGTTGTTCTACCTGTCCACACGCCATAAAACAATCAAATTTTGCTGGGTGCCCAGCCATGTTGGAATCCCCGGCAATGAACAGGCAGATACACTAGCACGCCACGCTGCTATGTCCACATCATACCAACCACGCTTCTCACGTATCCCAGCCACGGATTATTACCCACACTTTAAGACCTTCTTGTATAAACGATGGCAATCTTTTTGGTCAAGCCTCCACACTAATAAATTACATTCTGTAAAACTATCAATCTCCTCCTGGTCAGCTCCATTTCATCGGAACAGACGTTGGGAGACTGCTCTCGCCCGCTTACGCATTGGCCACACCCGTCTAACACACTCCTATCTGATGTCACAATCTCATCCACCCCTATGTTCCTTATGTAATGTTCCCCTTTCAATCGTACACATCCTATTGTCGTGCCCACGTTTTGAAGCAGCCCGTACCTCTGCTTTTCCCCACCTATCCTCCCTTCACCTCCCAACCTATCAGACATCCTTACAGAATCCCACACTTTCTGCATCAACAACCTGTTCTCTTTCCTCAAATGCATACATATCCTTTATCTAATCTAACACCCGACCTTAACCCTTTAACTCACCAATTCCTTTGCCCAGCTTAGACAACTAATCACTAACTCAACCACCTTTCACTAACATTAACTATAGTGCTACATGACCTTAGATGTCTAGCACATTTATCTTGCTTTTAACCATTAACCATTAACCATTTATATATTAGATATTCATATGCGCTTATATCTGTCTATGTATATATATATATATATATATATATATATATATATATATATATATATATGTACATATGAATGAATGTATATATATAAACATTTATATCTTTATATATTAGATATTCATATGCGCTTATATCTGTCTATGTATATATATATATATATATATATATATATATATATATATATATATATATATATATATATATATGTATGTATGTATATATATATACACACGCACATATATATATACATACATATACATACACATACCCACACACACATATGCACATACACAGACATACACACACAAACTTACTGTTGGAAAAGCAGACGAAGATCTTCGTCAAGGATACTGCCGCCAGTTTTGGGATGTCGGAAGTCATGCTGAAACTCCATTTTAATGGCCCAAGGTTTCCCCTTTATTGCCATTAGGAGTTCAGTCAGACGCGGAACATCCCGCGGGTTGCAAGTGACGTGGATCTCCACACTCGATGGCTGTGTATGAGGTAAGACGCTGGCGTACGCAGCAACATGGCAGTCTGTTACTCTTACAACTCCTCTCATATCCATCGCCCGAGCAATGTATTTGCTCACTGTTGCTTCACACTTAACTTCAGATAGTAAGTTCAACCACTGGGACCTGCCTTCTATGCCAGCTCCCTTGAGCAGCGACACTAGTTCGGCAGACGTTTCTTCCCCCATGGTTCTGCCTTCCAAGTAGAGGAGGCCAGTGAGGTGAACCAGAATGTTCTGCCACTTGGCCAAGTTAAGCGCAACCGCGTGGTTCCCTCTATACTTCGCAACTTCTTTAAGAGTCGCATCGAGCACACTCCTGATGCTGTTTGTTGTTCTACAAGCTTTATGATTTAATTGGCTTAAAATTTCATGATTTCTTTGTATGATGTATTGGCTAGTCTTTGATGGCACATTGCTGCTGGAAAGAACGGTCCTAAAGCCAGAGATAATTCTAGGAATGTCTAGGTCGTCAGCAACGAGACTTTCCATGATGTAAAGTGCAGAGAAAAAATCTTGTAGTCCCTTATGAGGGAAACTATACTTCTCTTCTGCTTCCTCTGTCAGTGACGTTGCTTGGATTAAGAACGTGCTAAGAGTTTCAGCGGCAGGCAAATCTAAATAGTCGCACGTATCCCTAAGTCTCTGTACAGATGCCTTAGACAGCACGCTGTCGTCACAGCAATGGTTAATTAGGACTTCCTCATAAAGTTTTTTAAGGAATTTATCCATCTTTTCTTTCATTTCAGGGAAGTCCCATTTCCAAGTCTTTTCATGATTGAACAGTCTCTGTCTTAACTTACTCTGACACAGCTCATGCGTCTTTAAGAACAGTTCCGTCGCTGTAGTCATTCTGTTTACTGCTTCAGGGTTAAGTACCCACAAGACTGTCACAAAGACAAGATTAAAAGGGAGTCGCCAGTGATCTTGCAGACGACTCTCCTTCCTGTTCAGATAGCAAAGAAGGCCAGAGATGTCTTTTTCCTCATCTGTGCTCCCAAGAACCTGGCTGTAGTTATTTACAAATTCTTTCCTGTCATCTTCAGCTATCCCGAGAACATGCACATGGATGATGTTAAAGTTGTTTGGGACACATCTCCTAAAATCGGGTACTTTGTTTGGTCGTGTTGTACACAGGACAGTGACATTGCCATGAGATTCCCCTAATTTCAGTATCTCTCTGTACACTTGTTCCGAGGATGAGTTAAGCTCGTCCAAACCGTCAACAATAAACAGAAGCCTGTTGTCCTGAATGCATTCGACTAGGTATTCTTTTTGGACACGCTTGCTTGTGGTTGGTAAGAGAGACTGCAGGAGTTGAGAGAGGGAATGGATTTCTCTCACTCTACATTCGACCAATATGACAAACTCATAGTCTAGGAGGTTTTCCATGGCACTTGCTCCTGCGGCCCAGTCGCTGATCATCTTTCTCGTGAGGGTTGTCTTGCCGACGCCTGCAGGGCCCTCGACCAGCAAGGTGGTGTCGCTGGTTTTGCTCTGGTTTTGCCTTCTCTCCACCAACGCAAGGAGATCTTCGAGACGAATTTGAGTATCGTCTTCTTTCATTAGTATTTTGGTAAATACCTTGTCTATTCGTACTTTCATTTTTACGTACTTTTCAAGTAGATTTGACACTGGTCCAATGCTTGACATATCTCTGTACCTCCTTTTTAATTCTAGTTTACCTTCGCTATTCACATACCGACATAACTTATCAAAGTCCAAGCTGCTTCTTCTTGATAAATCCAGCGACTCATCTCTGATATGGTTGATTTCGTCGCTTAGTTTTTGCAAAACGTCGTCAACTACCTGTTGATCCTTGTTGTAGATTTCTGCTGCTTTACTGAGTGTTTTGTTAAGCACATTCCTCAGTTCCTCCGTCTTGTCAAGGAAATTGTTCTCATCAACTTTAAACTCCTCATGAAGGAAGGCGTTTCTGAATTTCTTGATCAAAGTTAGGTTGTACTCCAGTGTGTCTCCTGACTCGGCCCACCTTTTGTCGCTAGGAGGAGCGAGTCCGTCGCAGCCATACTGAATGCACAAGTACAACAGCGTTATGTCAAAATCATCCAAGTTATGGTCCTCCATCTTCTTCCACTGACTGGGGCTGAGTTTCTTTCGTATGGGACCCTTGGAGAGCTTCTTCACAAGGAAAAGGTAGTCAGCAAAAGACTGATCCGGCTGCCTGCTGAAGGTGCCCCACTCCAGGACCTGCTGCAGTACACTCGCGCCCTTCCTGGTGGTCATTTCATAAAGGCGAAAGGTCATCTGTCGCTCCTTGTCGGAATCAAACGGACGGAACGCCATTGTTGCGTTGTTAATCCATTTGAAGAAACCCTTTTTTCTGGATTTGGAGAACAAAATATGAAGAATAAGATTTCAAAGACTATTCATAAGTAATCGGTGAACTTTACTAGACTGTATGATAATCTATGATAATAATACATTTCTGAAGTAAATATTTATTATACCCAATAGATAATAGGGGGCTACCTATTATCTTAGCCTCCTGGAAGTTAGGACTATTGCGAAGAAATGGATATTGAACAAGACTGTTACCTGACAACACTGCATGGTAGTTTAATATCAAATATTTTACTAACATCTGTTTATATATGAACAAACATGTATATATACATGTACACACACACACACACACACACACACACACACACACACACACACACACACACACACACACACACACACACACACACACACACACATACACACACACACACACACACACACACACGTGTCACGTTAGTAAGAGCGAGGTCTAACTTCACACGCAACACTTTGCACACACTTTGTGGAAAATCATTCTAGTTTTTGTATCTAAATTGAATGATAATGAAATACACTATGCTAAAAGGCATTGGTCGATAAAGGCTGGGCAATTTTTAAGTAGCTTGAGTAGATTATTTATAAATGTTTATTCTATTAATTTATTTAGGGTCATGATTCTACTTCACACAGACGAGGGTATAAGACTGATACAGGAAAGGTACACATATTGTTAAGTCTTTCCAGCCTGAATACTTGAACGTTCATTTAGAGTCTGTAATTCCCAAAGACACGCCAGATGAGGAAATAGGGTTACACTTTCGCCATGTATATTACAGAACAATATATAGAAGGTTGATAAATAGTGTGAGTTGAAGACATTTATACTCCTGCTTTCATGTTTTGCTTTTGTCAATTTTGAAATATGGGAAAGGGTTTCCTGGTATTTTTATCAGTCTGCCGAGGAGAAATTTCCTGGGAGACACAAGGAAACAGAGCCAATGAAAGACGTTTATGATCACATGGCAGTAGAGGTGATGAGATCCCTTGGTTGATGGGCGCTGAATCCAGGTGAGTTATTTCTCTTGAAGTTTTGGAGGATTTGAATGAAAAATATTACAACTGTGGGTAGGCTTCAGGTTGTTAGCAATACAGTGAAGGAATTTCATTGTGCGAGAGAAAAAAAACTAGATTCATCTCTTAATTTCCACCCGATTTACTCCAGTCCTCTTGTTTTCTTTTAAAAAAATCTGTTTCTATTTTCTAAATTTAGGGAACGCCATGTGGGAGACGAATGGATTTAGTCACCCTGTTTTAGCAAAATACATCAATTTTATGGTGAGATCCAAAGTGTTGCTCTCTCTGCAAATGTTGGCCGTTGTGAAGCATTCCAGCGGACTACAACTGATTTCGCGATATACACGTTCTCGCCACTTAACCCGGATAAGTAAGACGTTCCACTATTTACTCAATAATTAATTATACACATTAGTTTTTAATTTTCCGTTTAGATTATTAAAAGAAATAATATGTCTGCAAGCTTAGGTCATCTACCCTAAGCATTGCGATACGGTGCCTTGGTTGAAAAAAAGAAAAATCCAGACAGAAAATTATATTGGAAGTAGCATTTGAAGCATTTAGTATTTTCCTTAAAATCAGCAGACGAATGCTAGCACTAAGTAAGTCACGCATACTACTAGGGCAAAATGTCAAGTCGCCAAATGTTTAAATTAACTGTGGTATTTCTTCTCTCTATTTTGTATCATTTATTGTGTCCTCACTTTTATTGCATTTATGTTTTCGTTATTTAAGATATGTAGTGTTAAAGACTTTCAATTTATATTCGGTTGTTTTCCCGGTCATGTTTTTTTCTCTGTTTGAGTTATTCCTAAAAGTTATCTTAAAAGCAACGGTCCTTTTCTATCAGCAAAGCTCGCCTTCTCCTTTGCTCACTGTATACCCCATAAAGGCGAGGTTTAATGAGATAATGCTTTCACAAACAACTACTCCGGCAAGTATTTTCATAAGCACTTCCAGAAGGTCTTTGTCTCGCATTCATCAGCGCTTAATCGATTCACAAATTACTAATTATACTGCGATATCCTCGTAAAGTTAATGTCTTCAATTTCTATACCACATTCTTTCTTCGGCTCTCTTAAAAGGTTCATATTTACATTGCTTGCAAGGTGTATATCAGTCATAATGATTGATGTCCTTACCGCCCGACTCATGGGAGATACGCGGGCGACGGAAAGCAATCTCTACTAAAGATGAATTTTAGCTCTGAGCAAATTAATTTAGTTTCTCTACTTTATTTTTTTTCCTGGGAAGTTTATATCATACGATATCATTCTCTTACGTCCTCCTGTCACACTAAGTGAATAGTATCTTATCTAAAGCAACTTCCCAGGAAGATAAAGAGATGGAGAAAAAACGGAAAGACGATGAATTCCGTTCGACGCGAGAGGCAAGAAAATCATGAAATGCAATCAGCGTCGCCCGGTCAGGTCACAGGCCACACCTTGCCTTGCTCCCTGACCTTGACCCGAAGCAACCCAAGATCAACAACTAAAGTCTGAAATGAAGTCACGATAGCTCAATGCTTTCTATTACTGATGTAGATGTTTATTAAAAAAAATATTTTTATTCTTCTTCTTCATATTTATAATATTTACTATGTTTATGTACGTGATTATCACGAGGGGATAAAAGGCTTAAATGAGTTCTCGGATAATGTCAAAACTAAAATGATGAGTAATACAAAAACTTCCCAAGGAAAATACTCAAGCGCGATTAAGGAAAACAACCAGTTTGTTAGAAGAACAGCAACAAAACCTGCACGACCATCTACCAACTCATGACCGCAGCCCTCAGCTTGAGCGACCCTGCGACCGCCATTGATCGAGCCTCTACCCTGCCTGAGCTTCCTTGGATCAGAACCGCAGTCAGCATTTCCCCATCTTTTCAAAACAATTGTATTGCTGGATTTATGAAAGCTTTGTATTGACTCATTACTTATGGGAGAATGTTGTGATATCGTTGTAGATTACTAGTATATTGGCCATTTTCCAAGCTAATAAAAGAAAAATTGCAAATGTCCAACTCTACTACTTCATTAAAACGTTCTTCCATCCTAACGTTCTGCTCAGTGTAGTAAATCAATAGAAGGCCATTAGTTTTGAAAAAGTAAAATCACTGACTCAGAGGTCTGCGTGTCGACTATTCCTCAGTAAACCATCAAACCCGACCCCGTCTTCACTGTCCGAGTATGTCGCCCTGATGTACACATCTATTAAGAAACAGAGTGTATAACATATAAGCCATGATTAAATGAAACTAAATGTGTAATAGAGAAAAACAAAAGAGTTTATATAAAAAAATCAGGATGAGTAAGGGAATCTAAGACTGATCCCATTCAGATAGCGCAGAAGGGAAACGTACCTGTCGCATCCGTTGTGGCGGAGGCGAGGACCTGAAGCTTCTGCGTCTCAAGTGGCGTTCATCGTTGCTTATCTTGTCCATCCTATCTTATCTCGCCTTCACAAAAGCCTGGTGACCCGTGCAACATCCCCAATCAGTGGAGGTGGAGTCCATGATATTTAACGTTTTCTACTCGTTAAACCTTAACACTAACCTTGATGATTTGATATATATATATATATATATATATATATATATATATATATATATATATATATATATATATATACTATATATTTAATTACCGACCTTAGATAACTATAAGGCATTAATGATCAGATGGACTGAAAATGTTACTGACTATCAATGATACCAATAGCAACAGCAATAATTAATGATAACGATAATAATGAATGGTAGTGATAGTGGTGATAAAGCTGATGATAATGGCAGCAATGGTGATAAGATCAATGATTATAAAGAATGATAGATCGTTGTTGTGCTGATACTGATAACGATAATGTGATAGTGTTAATGGCAATCTGAACAATAATGGTACAAATATGAAAATGGTAATAATGATGATAACTTGATCAATGAAAAGAGTTACACTCATGTCAGTGATTTGATAATGAAGGTAATGATAATTAGGATGATAACAGAGGGACATTAGTAATAATGCTATAAATGAGCAGGACTGTATCAGCAAAGCTAGAATTATATTATCAGCGATAACAGTCACAGTGATGACGATTATATATATCATGTTAACAATAATAATTCTCTGGTTTATCTTTAAACTCTATGCCTGTTTTTTTTACACCTTTCCTTCCTGGTCACACATATTTGGATTAATGGAAGGATCCCCGATGTTTCAATTGTTTCAATTCCTCACGCCTCCAACCCCAGTCCGGATTCCCCCCCCCCCCCCCCTGCCCCTCCCCCCCAACCCCTGCGCGGTCTTTTCCGTCTTTTCTTCAGAAGTAAAAAAAAATAATAATGTTACTGACGCCACTGGGTGATTTACGATCGGAAATTACAAGGCCTTAAAATTTTCCTCTTCCATAAGTCTCCGTAAGAGCTAAGTATATCTATAGAAAGATCAAATGAACTTTAGAAAGGAAGAGATAGAGAGAGAGCGAGAGAGAAGAGAGAGAGAGAGAGAGAGAGAGAGAGAGAGAGAGAGAGAGAGAGAGAGAGAGAGAGAGAGAGAGAGAGAGAGAGAGAGAGAGAGAGAGAGAGAGGGAGAGAGAGCATTCGAACTGATTTGCAGCCGGAATGGTCCTTAATTAACGTAAACTAATGTAGCGTAGACATTGACGTCGACACTAATGAAAGGGAAAATAAAAAGCTGCTAATGTTCTGTTAAAAGCCAGCTGCAGCTTAATGTATGTATTTAAATTTACCAATGTGTATCTGCACGCACAACCATACACACACACACGCACTCATGCAAATACACACACACGTGCGCGCACAGACACACACACACACGCACATACACACACACACACGCACGCACGCACACACACACACACACACACACACACACACACAAAGAAACACACCAAGACACACTCACAAAATCTCACAAAAACACACAAAAACAAACATACACACACAGTCATACAGACACACACTCATACACACACACGCACACACAGTCATACAGACACACACTCATACACACACGCACACACACACACACGTATATATATATACATATATATATATATATATATATATATATATATATATATATATATATATATATATATTATATATATATATGTGTGTGTGTCTGTACACACACACACACACACACACACATATATATATATATATATATATATATATATATATATATATATATATATATATATATATATGTGTGTGTGTGTGTGTGTGTGTGTGTGTGTGTGTGTGTGTGTGTGTCAGATATAAATGATACATACACACACACACACACACACACACACACACACACACACACACACATATATATATATATATATATATATATATATATATATATATATATATATATAGACATCATCAGCAGCAGCCTGAATCGACCCACTGCGGGACGTAGGCCGCTCCCAGTTTTTTCTTGCATCTTTTGTTTCCAGTCTTGGCCCCCAAATTTCGTTATTTCGTCACGCCATCTTGTCATTGGTCTGGCCCTTGGCCTCTTTATGTTATCTTTAGCTCAGACTTTTACTATCTATGTCCATTTGTCGTCCGGCATATATGCCCTGCACATTGCCATTTTTTCTTTTTGATGCTCCCATTTTTCACTTTTGACTCTTCCACTTCGCCCTCATCCGATCTCTTAGGCTAATTCCCAGCATCAACCTCTCCATCCCTCTCTAATATCCTCTCCAGTAATTTGGTTGTAGTCCATGTTTCTAATCCATAGCTCATAACTGGGAGTACGCATTGGTTAAATACTTTCCTTTTTAAATACAATGGCAAGAAGCCTCTTTGTATGTTACTGTGTCTGCCGAAGGCGCTCCAGCCAAGACTGATGCGTTGCGTAATTTCCTCCTTGCTAGATGTGTTTGTCTGTACGGGTTGCCCTAGGTGTATATACTTGTCCACTACCTTTA